TGTGCATTTTGGTTGGCCAATAAAGGTATCACTGATGGATTTTTGTATAAATGTATTTGTTATTGTTGTGTGCCTTCAAGTTGTTTCCTACTTATGATGACAAGATGAAACTATCATGGGTTTTCTTGGCAAAATTTGTTCAGAGATTCCCACTGCCTTCCTCTGAGGCTGAGAGAGTGTGACTTGCCCAAGGTCATTCAGTGGGTTTCCCTGGCAAGGCTGGGAATCAAACCCTGGTCTCCAGAGTCATAGTCCAACACTGAAACCATTACACCAAGCTGGCTCTCCATGTATGTACGGTATGTATCATTGATGGATTTTTGTTTGAATTTGCTAAATGGCCAACACAGCTATGCTTGAATGTTTTCTATATTGTGAGATACTGCATTGTAGCTGCAACAGGGGAACCAGGAAGGATAGCCTGTGGACTGAGAACTTCAACCAAGGTAAAACTATTTTTTTCTTCTTAAATTTGGATTGAATTCACATGTTTTACCTCTACATGCACCAAAATGTTCCTGATGCAAAAACATGGAGACTTCTTGAGAAATCCATTATTCTCTGCCACAAAAGAGGCCTGTGGCCTTACTGGAATGGAGACATATTGGACTGCAAAAGAGGGGTCCCTGTTGAGATGCAAATGGATTTTAAATTTCCTGGACTTTGCAATCTCCCTATAGCCACAGGGCCAGAAGAAGGAGGATCCTGCCTACAAAAAATATCCTCCCCACCATATACCAACTTAACTAAAGACTAAAACATTGTGTACATCTCCAATTGTTTTTCTCCTGTTTGGTTTAACATCTTGCCTGATGAAGAAGCCCATGGAGTTTCGAAAGCTTGCAACAAGTATATTGTGCATTTTGGTTGGCCAATAAAGGTATCACTGATGGATTTTTGTTTGAATTTGCTAAATGGCCAACACAGCTTCCCCTGAATGTTTTCTGTATGTATATATGTGTCTACATACATACATGTTTTGGCAGAATCCGTAGACGAGGTATCCAGCAACTCCGCTGAAGGTAATTTACTGGATCAACTGCAATCTGTGAGTACCGATGACATGGACAAGCTACTTGGGAGGATGAGGAAGACGACTTGCCCCCCTCAATCCTTGTCCATCATGGCTGGTTGCCTGGGGGGGGGACACGTTGAAAGTGTTCCTTCGGGATACGATCAACGCGTCCTTCAGGGAAGGTTTGGTACCATCTAGTCTGAAGGAGGCGGCAGTTAGGCCGCTCCTGAAAAAACCTTCCCTGG